AGGCTCAGCCTTTCTAATAAGCAATGCAATACCAATTAAAATAATAATATGCCTCTTCCAATGCCTCAGGCTGGTATATATTAAAAATAAATTGGCACAATCCATTGAAGACAGTTTGGGAACACATGTCAAGAAATGAAGAGTGACTGTCATTGGCCCAGCAGTCTTACTCCCAAGGACTTTACCATGAGAGCAAAAAGAAATGGGATCTTCGGGGATATTTATTACATAACTGCCTCTAACATAATTAAATTAGAGAGAACCTAAATTCATTACGAGTAGGAGATGATTAAACAAGCAGTGGTTTCTACAGCAAGGAAATTCTTGAAAGCCATTAAATATGATGGTGCATGGAGCAGCATTATTGGAGGGGTTGATGGAAAGGTTTTAGTGGCCTCCGGATGAACACAAGTTACGAAAAAGTAAGCGCAGCATGGCCTAATACCATTTATAGAAAACTGCGTCCATATCTCTCCACAGATGCGGAAATGCACAGGGATCCACGTGGAAGCACAATCTGAAGCTTAACTGTGGCTGTCATTGGGAGGTGAAAGCTTGGAGGATTTTTACGGTCTTCTTTGGGTTTTCTAATGTAGAATACATTTTTATAGCAATCAGAATTCATCACTAAAAAGCTGTTTCTCCAGAGGACAAGCAACGTTGCTGAGTCCCCACTCAACCATGAGCCTTTGCAACTTTTCCTGATGGTACGTGAAAGTCAGAGGGACCTGGGCACCATGGACCACGCAGCTGCGTCCACTTTGGAGCTACTAGCCTGAAGCTCTGCTGAAACTCCTAAATGGAAGCACATTTTCAGAGTCACCCAATTGTCATGAGTCTGTGGATGGTTTTCCACAGAAAGAGATCAATGCCAAATGAGAAAAAAAATCAGCTCCTTCTGTTTGGTCAAAGCAAGGGCATAGAGAAAACCTTCCAGAACCCACTCATGGGTGTAATGAAGAATCAGTGACCTGGAACTTGCTTCTCTGGGGACCTTGGTAAGGAATGAGCGCTAGAATGGATTTGAAACTCTTCAGCATACAACTGGGATAGGCGGATAAAAAATAAAGTATCTCACCAGAAAACTGAAGGTCCCCTGGAAGCTTTTTTTGCGCAGGGTGTTTTCCATGAAGACAGATACATTTTTAGCACTGGTTGTCCCCAGATCTTTTGAGTACCATCCCATCTAGTTAACATCCTTCAAAAAGTACCTCCCTTATCTGGGGCCTCATTCCTTTCCACTGTGAGTCCAGACAGTGTCTGAAGCCAGGGCTCAGTTAAGGGATTCTCGTTGTTCTTACTCTAAACTCCCCTTCCTCTTTAACAGTGTCTTTGATGAAGGGCCTCCCTGGTGCAGGGTAGGGGATTGCCTGCTCTGAGCCTTCCAGCAGCCGAGCTCTGAGGCATGCAGGCCGGGGAGCCATCGGGTGTGAGCAACTTACGGAAGCACTGAGGCAGCTCCCCGGTCCAGGACCCGTTTCCCTCGCAGGTGAGCACCGCGGGCAGGGAGAGCTGGTACCCCTCCAGGCAGGCATAGGTCACACTGGAGCCCCACGTGAAGTCAGATCCCACTACTTTCCCATTGGGGATGAGCTGAGGCGGCACGCACATGATAGCTGGGGGGAGACCAGAGAGGCTGAGAGCTGGTGCTATCCTGGCGAGACCAGCCCTGCCCCCATCAGTGAGGTCACCATCACCTTGTACCTGCTGGGTGTCTGGGCTAAGCAGAGAGAGCCAGAAAGGACGCCTCTAAATGCAGACGTCTGCTCTCCTTGCACCTTACAATGCCTTCTCTCCAGTGTGACAACCCAGGCCTTGCTTTGCACAGCCCTTCCCTGGATGTTCAAGGCCCGGGCCTTACCTTGGTGGCTTTGGACTCCCTCCTGGCAGATATTCAGGGACAAGTTCTCAACTTAAGGGCTCTGCCTGTTTACTCCCTCCCTTCTGGGCCCTCAGGGCCTCCATCTCACTTTTAGATGTTTTTTGGCCCTCCGTCCACACCTACTGCCCCCAGACTCACCTTTGCAGACAGGCTTGGTACCATTCCACGTTCGGTCCTTGGTGCAGCTCAGCACAGACACCCTATGAGACTCCATCGTATAGCCAGGGACACACTGGTATGTCACGGTTTTGTTGTACCTGAAGTCATTGCCCAGCCGGAGGCCATTGGCTGGAATCCCAGGGTCCCCACAGTTTATGACTAGGATAAAAGAGATACAGTACTGTTGACTCCTAGCCCAGACCCCACTTCTCCCCAGTGTTCCCACACCACCTCTGTCGTTCCCTGCACACAGCCAAGAAAGAAAGCTGTCGGATCAGGGATGATGCCCAGCCGGGCATTGCCAATTCTAAAGTCCACTTGGTCAAATGCCCCACCTTGGCCCTGTCCTTGCCTGCACATCCTTATGCACCCCAGAAACTTGAGCTATGAAGACCATCCTTCTTATTCGCCCCCCACCAGGAGATACCCAGAAGGCTGCTCAGTTCCTAAATGAGGCTGGGACCTTCGGAGAGGGGGGTTTCCGGGTTGAAGAGCCTAAGATGTGTTAATGGACCACCTAAGATAATGGTTTGTCTGCCCTGCTTCATATCACCCTCTCTCTGCAGGCTGAACAGCCGGGAAGCAGGGTCTGCGGCCTACGAAATGGTCATGCCTGTGTCATGGTGTCAGCAAGGGTGGGGTTTGGTGAGCTCCGGTTCCAGAACAAAAGTGAACATGAGCTGGACCTTCAGATGGAGCCTGAAATTGTAGACTAGGGCTTCGACAGGAGAATATTGTCAGATTCCCTCATCTTATCTCCTCCCTCCACCTGGGCCCCGTTGGGACTCCCTTCCAAGGAAGAGGTCTAGGGCTGCCCTGGAGAGGAGAAAGCAAGGGCGTGGAGAGGTCACCCCTGCTGACCAGTGGGGATGAGTACCAGGAAAGAAGGAGGTGACAAGGATGGTGGCAGCTTAAAGTGGAGAAAGAATTAGGCTGAGCCCTAGGGTTGGCCCCAGAAGAGAAAAGAAAGCCCGAGGAATAGGCTAAAGCCTGAGAAATAGCCCATGTATGTATATTGTCACCCTCTCTGAGCCTCTGTCATCTCACATGTAACATGGGGCTACTAGGAGCTACTTCATGGGGCTGTGGTGAGAATCAAACAGTATATGCATATCGAATAAAGCACTTAGCGCAGCGGCTGCCCCACAGCACATGCTCAGTAAAGAGCAGCTATTCTTGTGCCTCTCTCAGCCCCAGCCAGCCCACCCGGTTTCCCACCGACAGCCTTCTCTGGCGTGCAGGAGCTAGATCACTGAGGCCCCCGTTTGCCTCAGAGTCCAGAGGGCCTGGGCTCTCACCTGTGCACTCGGGGTCAGTGCCTGTCCAGGTGCCATTGACTGAGCAGTGGCGGCTGAGCAGGCCTGTGGCGTAGTAACCTTCCCGACACTCATAGACGATGGAGCTGGAGAAAACTAGGCCGTCACTGAACACAACTTGGGCGTTGCTTGGAGTCCCAGGATTCCCACAAGAGATCACTAGGAAGCCAAAGGAGCACGTTATTTACCAAACCAGTGGCGGGCATCGCCTGGGGGACTGAGAGCTGCCCAGAGTGGAAGCCACCTGCTACATAGGGACCCTCTGCCTGGAAACGCTGCTTTCGTATCTAATGATCTCACCCCTAGTCAGGAAGGAGACACCTATAAGAATCTTTTTTAATTTCCAAAAAGTCCGGTCTCTTTGTCTGGAAAAATGACTACATCTGCTTTATTAGCACCCCTAAAATTTTAAACACAATTCCTTACTATTATCAAATATACAAACAGTCTGTAATTTTCAATAGTCTCTTTCTCTTTTAAATAGTTTTGTTTGAATGAGGATCCAAATAAAGCCCACACAAGACCTTGGCGGACACGTCTCTAAGGCGGTGAGTACCGAGATGACTCCTCCCTCTACTACAGTTTATTTGTTGCAGAAACCAGGGCATCTGTGCTGCAGAACCCCCCGTTTTCTGGACTTTGCTAACTGCATCAATGGGGTACAACTTAATGCATTCCTCCGTGCCCTGCGGGTCCTGTAACCAAGGTGTCCTTTTTTGGCAAGGGTACTTCATAGCTTGTGTCTTTCCTGTTGCATAGAATCAGGAGGCACCGAAGGTCTGGGCCTGTTTTCTCATTCAGGATGCTGAGGCTGAGCAGTGGTTTCAGGCGTGTCTGCCTAACCCGGCACTAGAATGTTCCCCTTAGATTTTCCTTATCGGTTTCTATAGCAAGTGAAAATTGCTGATCAGGTTTATTATTTCATTAGGGATTGGAAAAGGACAATATATTATCACTCCTTCTGCCTTAGGTAGGCCTCTTTAAGAAAGAAGCTTCCCGTCGTCAAATATTTGCTTACCCTGAGATATCTAGTTTTCATACATGAAGGCTACATAATGCGTACCCCTTTGTTTTTTCTTAATCTGAGATCAGAATAAGAGTCAGTTTCTTAACAAGTGCCAAAGGCAACTAATGAGGTTTCTTAAGAACCCTTTCGAATTTGTGGATTTAAAGTTATTTTACTATGATGAAATGCATTGCCATTGCTATTCTTTTTTTTTTTTTTTTTTTGGCGGGGCTAGGTTTGAACCTGCCACCTCCCCAGCATATGGAGCTGGCTCCCTACTCCTTTGAGCCACAGGCGCTGC